TGGAAACCTTTTGGGTTCTGCTGGGACCCTTTCCTGACTGTGAAAATGTACAAGAGAAGAAATAATGAAAAAACCAAATTTTTTAAATGAAAAAAAATTATATCTAAGCAAAGGAATTTATTAAAGATGTCCTTCAACTCTGCAGCTAATAGTTCCTCCTCTATGGCTTTTTCAAAAAATTGCTTATTAGAAAAACAACTACCACACTGAGGAGAAGAATTAGGGCTATTTCAAGCATATTACTTCACAGTTTCTTGCCAGTGGGAGACTTGGGGAGGGGGTTGGGGGTTTACAGTGGCTAGACAGACCATTAAATTGGTATTAAACACTTTTCCATATGAAGGAAGTTACCTTCTGCCAAAAATCCAGGAGCAGAGGGATTGGTTTCAATGCAAGTTGTGCTGGGATGGGGCTAGATAAACTTTGAAAAATTAAAAGGTCACTGGGGTCAGGGTGCAGGCTTCAGAGCCTGTCTGGCTGGCTTCCTTATAGACTCTTGGAGAGCTGGCACACCAAAGCAGCATGACGTCCTGCATAAACATTTGATCCTCCTGACCAGTTTTTTCCATGGTATTAACTTTCTTAGCATGAAAAAAAAGTATATAAAAATGACCAAAGCTGTTTTGTATCAATTTTCACTATGCAGAGGCACAGAAAGATTTCTGTGTTGTGTCCAAAGCAAAAGGGAGGGCAAAGGCAAAAAGAGCAGCTTGCCAAACTACTTACATAGATCCACAAACTGCTCTAGTTCCTAAAATAGCAGCTTAGCACAACAGAGGACGCCTCTGCAACTATGATAAAATACACTGTTATTGATTTTTCAGCTGGTTAACCAAGTGGAAAAGATAAATAATGTAAACCATGCAAATCTAGGAAGATAGAAAAGAAAGGTAAATTATTCTTTTAGACACCCAAATCAAAGAAATTTTAGAGGGCTGGCTAAATCCTCAAAGCAAAGAGAACCTGGATGGAGGAAGAGGACAGGTCCATGGCTGAAGGGATTTGGCACCATGTGAGGAAGGGCATAAGGACATTTTCACGTTGTTTTGTGTGTCCTTGGCTTTGGGGACAGAAGTCAGTCCCGTGGCAGCTGGCTCAGTTCCAGGGCTAAGCTTTGTGTTGTCCTCTGGCCCCTGGACACCCTGGTGTCCCTTGAGACCTCGATGTGCAGCGCAGCTGTACTTGGTTTGAAAACAGACAGCTATGGGCAGCAGTGTCCTGGAAATCTGAGCGTGGAGAGGCTGAAACCTTGGCTGGATGGATGCATTTCACTTTCCTGGAAGGCAGAGCCAAGAAGAATTAAGGATTGGCCCATTCCTTCTATTGTTAAGAACATCTCTTCTCCTGGCTTGGCTTTTGTGCACATCATGCTTCAAGTTCAAAATACTGATCTCAGCTCAGTAAAAGCAAACAAGCAGAAAATCTTCACTGTGCTGTTGTAAACTTTCTTTTATATGCTGGAGGTTTGTTTTGTTATGCTTTAACACAGGACCTAGATTCTGGAAGGAACTGATGAAGTTCCTTGTCAGAGCCTGACCATGAGAAATTGCATTGGGCAGCTCGGTTCAGAGCACTCTGCCTGGGAATCCTCCAGCACAGAGCTTTGTGCTTGGAAACTGCTCTGCTAATTTCCTGAGGAATTTGTGTATCATATCTGCACTAGCTGATGGTATTGTAGCAGCAAAGTTTAACTCGGAGAGAATTTGGAGCCATTAAAGAGTGAAGCAGCTCAGGGGTCTGTATTGTCTGTACAGGATCATGAAGGTTTGTGGAATCTGCTGGTTCGTGGTATTGGAAAGAGAGAAAATAAATGATTTCTGTTTTAAAGCTTGAAGTTATTTTTTCCTGAATACATCCCTGTTTACAGAGCTATTATGCTTCTGGATGCCCTCAAGGCCTGGATGCTTCCATCCTACACCTGTAATGTGACCAAAACCAGTTCTCCTCCTGGAGCTGTGGGAGACTTTGGTCATAGGCTTTATATATACCCACAGGTAATGCATGGCTGGCTATGGATTCTTGGGATCAAAGTGCATTTTGGAGGTGGTAGCTCACATTTGGAGACATGCAGTCCTGCCATAAGGCTGGCAGAAAATTCTCTATGTATTGGGGATGCTTGGGTTTTATTGCATAAAACTTCCACATCTGGTAATCAGAAAAAAAAAGGGATATTCCAGGTGATTTTTCCTTCCCTGATATGACCCCTGGTGAGAGAGTAATAAAGGAAGAGACTTTAATGACATAGAAGACCAATGAAGTCTGCACATAAGAGGGGAAAGCAGGATCAAATGATGTGACAAAGTCAAGCAGAGAAGATTTAATATGTTGCACTAAAAGCTGAAAATAACTCAGAGAGATGATAAAATCTCCAGCATGGGGGTGGAGGAGAGTAGAGCTTAAGGAAAAGAAGAGTGGAAACCACAGAAATGACCATAGTCCATTTTTATTTTAACCACTTGCAGGAAGGTGATGAGTCACCTCTTCCATTGCTCTTTGATTTATTCACAAGGTGAGTTTCCTGCCATGGAAATCAGAGCCAGCAGAACTGCCAAGGAGGGAGGAAGAGTGTGCACAGACATCTCTGTAAGCTCTGCAAGAAGCAGGAGGAGAAGGAAACTCATTTGGATGGGGAGAGGAACGTGACAGAAACACAGAAGTCAGAGAGCAAGAGTATGTTGCCCCTCAGGAGGTGAACAATAAAAAAAAAAAAAGATAATGTCAGGATTTCAGATATGGAATAGACACAGATAAATGAAACAATCTGAATGTAACTCCTTTTTGTGGATATCTGAGTACAGAAGACTTCACTCTTGAAACTCTATTACTCTGCTAGGTCAGTGGAAGGTCAGATGTCCAAAAAGTTACAGTGCTATGTTAATTTGTTCCACCTTGGGCCTGAAGTCTATAATTAGGTGAAACAAGACTTTATGGAAACTTCTTTACTGAAGTAAAAGCTCAGATTTTCAGAGCCTGTCATTTACATGCCCTTTCTGGACCTGAGTAGCAGTCCTCCCAGAAAGCTTAAAAACTTTCTGCTAGAAATATGTTAATAAAGAAATATATGTATAAATATATACCATGTAATATGGTTTTGTTTTTGGGTTTTTTAGTTAACTGTTTGGTTTTGTTTTTTTTTTTTTAATTAATACCTTCTTTCTTGATAATGTTCTCAGAAATTGTAACTGACTTCACTGTCAATTGTTTTGCCCAGCAAAGGTTAAAACATTTCTGACAAAAATGCAGTCCAGCAGCTGAGCACATTTATCTGCCTGTGTGCAGTTTGCTCCTCTGGGGAAAAGGACAGGTCACTCAGAGGTACAGACCTTCTTCCTTAGCTGAAGTGCTTGAGGCTTTGAACTGAAGTATTTTTATGTGTGGCTGTGTGGGTATTGTTACAAATAGATACTGCATTGAGCATTGGCAGTGCAACAGGATAAAACTGGAAAATAGTCTTGAATAATTGCACAGCTGTAAATAAGATTGAATGTTCTCCATGTTCATTCTTCTGCATTGTCAGACGTCCTTTCTAGAAATTCATAACTCTGAAGTGTTGTTCACAGCAAATCAACAGAAGACCAGCTTGTAAATATTTTTTTGCAGGTTTAACTGGGGTTCAAACTGAGACCCTGTGTTCAAATACCTCCATTTCCATGAAGCTGCTTTCCATTCTGAGCTTTGCAGATCAGGCCAGTCATTATTAGCCCAGCATCATTCATCCTCATTCTTTTAGATAAAACATTCATTGTCATCATGTTAATATTTGTTATGTGGGCTCATTTTATGTGGTGGGTTTTTTCCAATTTCCTCTACTGCTTCAGTAACTCCTCCATTTCTTGCAAGACTTAATTTGAAACTATTTAAGTTTATTATTTCAACTTCCAAAGATGATTATTTGGCATTTGAGTAAACAACCTTAGCTATGCACTTGCTGACATTCCTCCATAATAACTCTCTGCCCCTATTTTATCACTTATAGAATTGCTTTCTAATCCTTTTTATGGGTCTTTTTAAAAATAGCTTTCTTATATAATAGATAGTAACATTTGTTATAAAATGAAAGTAAAACCAATTAAATCTGCGTTATTGTATTTACAAAAGATTGATGTGTGTAAAGTCTAACAGCTTATTTGGGGATTTTAATTTAAAAGTGCCCTGCAATAACATTCTCTTGTGTTCTGGGAACCAACAGTAATGGAGAAGCCACTGCCTGCAGAGATGCTGAACTAAATTAAAGTATTGTGTGCTGGTATTTGAGCATCTGCCTCATACGTTAATCTCTGGGAAATGCTTGAAAATACCCTAAAGTAGCAGCCATTTCTTTGTTTAAGTTTGAAAGCTTTTTGTATCTATTCTCATTAATGCTGTAGTGCAGAAGATTTGCTGTTCAGTAAATGAATTGAACAGAAGTTTCTGCAAACCAAGAACAGATTGCAGTTTCCCCATTTCAGTCTCCATTTTACTTTTGTTGTGTGTAAAGGATTTAAATTTGAGCTCCAGGGAGCTGGATTTTACTGTATTTCCTTCAACATATGCGCTCCCTGTGATATAGAAGCAAACTAGTTGGACTTACATGAATACTGCAAAAATTTGAATATTATGCTGCCTGAATGATTGAGGATTTTTTACCCTACCTTAGTCTTTCTCTTGAGTTATATTTACACATATGAGACTCTAAGTGTATGGTTTCTCTGGAAGGTGGCATCTGAAAATGCTTCATCTTCATTGTAAAGTCTCTCATTTTTCTTCTCCTTTATAACATTTTCATTCATCCAGCTCTGGATCAGAAACAATACCATGTGATTTACAATTGAGTATGACATAAATAGTTGAAGCTGTAAGAGCAGCATATAGTAAACAAACAGACTGTAGGCAGTAATACATTTGAATACTGGATTTTTATGCATGAATAATCCATGAGTTTATAAAAATCAGTCTGTTTATAGATAATTTAGGAATAGAAGAATGCTTTTATTCATGAAATGACTTATCTTTTCCAGCTTAACAAACAGTTCCATGAAATGCAAGAAAAGAAGAGTTGTGATGTACAGATTTGCCAAACTTAGCTGCTGTTATTTCAGAAGATAAAAGTGTGCATCTATAAGGACAAGGCCTGCAAATGGAGCATTTATCTCAGCACACTCCCTGAGATGCTGATTTCTGCACTGGTACCTAAGCTGCAGGTGAGCATCCTTGAACATCCTCAAACATCCTCCTGCAGGTGCAGCTCAGCTGAGTGAAAATATTATTGTTTCCTGCTACTCCTTTCCCCAGCCTGGACATTCAACCCCTTTTTTTAGCTGCTGGAGGAACACCATTTTTGACAAAGCAAATGGATTGGCAAAATCATGTTATTTGTTTAGGAGATGATGTCCAAGAACAGCTCCTAGAAGATCTGAAGGGACGGTTACAACCAGCCTAAGGGAATGATCTGTGTCCATCCCCTGGTTCTGCCTCTGGCCTGGTAATTTAAGTGTTACCATTCCAAGTAAATCATCAGTAAGAGGAGAAAGAGCAGGATGTGCATCCTGGCACAAACTACAGCCCTGCTTAGAGCTGCCCTTGGAGTGCCTGGGCAATCAGGGCAGAGTGTAGGAAAGCCAACATTTGTCTGTCAGTCTAGCCTGAAATAATGCAGGTGCTTCAGAAATAATGACTATGACATTTCTGAGCCTTTCATTTCATTGTTTTTCTTCAGCCAAAGGTATCTGTTGAATTTGAACTAAATTATACATATAGTTTATCACTGTTTTGAAAATAATTTTTATACCTAAGAAACTCATTTCCTTGTCCAAAGAGAGTCCATCAACTCCCTTCTCATCTGACCTCTTTTCTGCTTCTAGTGCAAGTTTCTTTAATGGTTTATCATAAGATCTTTATACCTTTCACCTTAGCTCTCATGTGTTTAGAAACACTACTTGCAAAGAAGGAAGGTCTATTAGGATAAATTAATATCTTAGAGTGCTTGCACTTAGAAAGTGAAATAGTAAATGCTAGTTTTAAAATGGTTACAAAGAAAACAATTTGAAATGGGAAAACAGAAAGGGACTGTAGAGAAAATGATGAAGGAATTAGGAGAGTGTGGTGGTATTTTAAACTGTGGTGGTATTTCAAATTACATGTATTTAATTAAGAGCCAATAAAGTAGGATTTAAATATACATAAACTAGACACAGTAGAAACTTGTTAATTTGCACTCTAATAATTTGCAGATTTTATAATTTGTGAAAAGAAAAAAAAAAAAAAAAAGCTTCCTTCTGCCTTGCAGCAATGGTTTAAACCAGAGGCAATAGTGAAACAGCCTGTGATTAACACTTTGTTTCTTTGGCAAGTATACTGGAAAGCAGTGGCTACACTTGTGATTGTGTTGTAAGGGATTAACCACTGGATCATAGTTATTTATACACCATAAAATGCACTTTATTCCTACTCTTTCAGACAGCAGCCATGTAACTCTCTAAGATTTTAATTGATTTGGAGTTGGCATAAATAAGCACAAGTCAGAATTGCAATGATTTGCAATAACTCTCAGGCATTAAAATCACAAATCCACACCACCAGCATGGAAGCTTTTGAACACGTGCCTGGAAGTTGCCAATTATTGTTGGAATCTTGTCCTTCAGGAGGGTTTGTCAGCCGTGGAGGGTGGCAGGAGGGTGGTGCTGCTGCTGCTGCAGGGCTGGTCCCAGAGCTCACACCTCTCTACAGGAGAAGGAGCTGAGAATGCTCTGGCTTAGGCTGATGTGGGTTTTTCTAAGGTGAATTCTGCTAGGACAGCTCCTGCCCATTATTATTAATTGTTAATTAATATAAGTCTAATTTTATTGCCCTCTCACTTGTGCAATAGATCACAATATTCAGGAATACTGTTCAGGTGTCTTTTTCCTTACACTTATTTTCATAAAGGGTAAATTGAGTTTGATGCTATTCTGTGATTAAACATATTTGACTGATTTTTTCAGCCACTTTTAACCTGTTATATGCAATATTTTCCAATGACGTTGTTCACGTAGAGTCTAGGAAATATTAAATCCCAGACAAATTCCAAACATATTTCATACATTTAATTCATTAATTTTGTAATTAGGTTGAGATATTAAATATGGTTTTATTTCTGAAATAAATTTTACCGAAGTGAATTATGGATCAGAATTTTAGAATATTTTCCTTTGAATTCCAGTTGTGTGAACTGACCGTTGAGTCAAAATTTTGTATCTGCCAGGTAATTACAGCACTTGGTACCTTCAGCAGGGAGTTGCCCACGCAAAGCTCTGGGCAGAGCAGGACCCATGTTTAGGTGTCCTTCTGTGGTTACTTGATTTGGTTAATCAAATCTACTTATCTGCAGCCTGTAACAAGGTAGAGGATTTGCATCATGATTCCAATTAGGTTGAAATTAGTATAAGCTTATGTTCAGTAGCTGATGGTTTTGGTATGTTAGATTAAGTGCTTCTTTGATAAACTGGCTCTGAGGATTGTTATGACAATTCTTGTGATTAAACTGCGGTAGAAATATGTGATTAATAGAGATAGTTCTATCTTGTGCTGTACCCTGCTACCACAGGCAGCCAGCCAGATCAGTTTTTAAGGCAAAAAATTATTTAAGAACAAACAAACAAAACCCTCAGAAACTAAAACCTCATACAAAATAAAACACATATACACAAAGAAAAGCTCCCCCCAGACAATTTAAACATCTGTCCTCACTGTTGCAATAAGTAGCAAGGATCAGAATAATTTCCAAATGGCCTAGGAAATTATTTTTCTGATTTATTTTAATTTATTTTGTATTTTCATTGAAACAAAGGGTCACAAATGGAAATAGCACATATTAGATATGCTGAGGAAACACTTGCATTGCATCTCATTGGCAAAACCCCCAAACAATAATCATTCAGTATTTGAGCCAGCCAGGTGTTGCAGGGTTTGGCCAAGTCCAAATCCTCCATAAAAGGATCTATTTTTTAGCATTGGTATTTCAAGGAAATGTTGGTTTCTGCAGAACTGAGGCTCTAGCAAGAAATCAATAGAACCTGGTGAGTGCAGTGCTCACCTTTCAGTGGGTCTGTACTTCCAAATATCTCTCATGTCAGGCTCATTTAAGCAGAAATTGGTTTCCTGTTTTTTTAGGAATATTTTCCCCCTGAATAAAGTGAGATTATCTTGTCAATAAGTTTTATTCTGCTTCTGGTGCAAGTGGTCATTCCAAGTGGTTTTTTCACTATCTCACTTTGCCTTTTTGTCCCAAGGTCTGGAGGAAGTCTGTCCAGGATGAGACAGAAGGACTCTTTGGGCAATGGAGGAATCCCCAAGAAAAGAAGTGGAATTTGCTGCATCAGTCCCTGGTCAAATGAAGATGAGCAGAAACATTCTGCTGGTGTGAATATGCTCAGGGATTTAATTAGCAACAGTGACAAAAGAACAGACATGGAAACATGAAATTAATTTAAGCTAAGTATGCAAACCTGCTCTTGCAGTGGGTCACTCAGTGACTTTTAAAACAAATGTGAGTGTGCAGTATTAGCTTAAATCTTAATTTTATATTCATCTGCTGGTCCTCAAGGCAAATACTCTTGCCTCTGTTTTCAAAAACCCCACATCTGTGGCAGATTGGCACTATGAGGGTGTGGGGACATTAATGCCCAAGGCTTTTGTCTCTCCTGGCAGTCCTGCCTTCAACAGATGAGTGGGAGCAGTCTGTGACACCTGGGTATCAATTTTCTGACCTTCCCCTTTAGATGAAGCCAGGATTCATGCTTTAGTTTTAGATCATAGCTGACAAAGCAGTTTATCTTTCATGTATTTTTCGAATGTAGTTTTTCAGACAGTTTTTTAAAATTGAAATTTATAGTTGAGCTTATCTTTGAAAAAACTGCTTTGGGTTCTTCATGATAGTCAAAATGGTTTTCAGCATTTCTTTAACCATTTTTAAAGTGATTTTCCTCACTAGTAAATATCAGTAATTTAAGAGTTATGATTTTTTTCTTCATGTAAATGCTTCCCCTAAGATTAAGCTTGAGATAAATTCCTTCATGTTGCTGCCCACTACTTGCATTCATGGGTAAATTAAACTGTCTGGTTCCTTGCCACTGATTTTTCAAATGTTAGTCATGAAAATTGCAGAAGCATTTTTAATGCCAAAGAATTAACAGATGTTGGTGGATATATTAGGTTTTGACAAAGGTTTGGCAGGTAAAATTTAAAATTAGAACGGCTTTTCTATATTATTTATTTTTAATTTTAGCTTTCCTGGCCTTTCAAGTGTGCTCAGAAGCGAGATGGATTATTATAATGTTTGTCACCGTTTATTCTCATGCATACCTAAAACAGGAACATGTGAGATGAGGAACTCTTCATCTGGAGGGATGTGTGTAATGGCTGATATCAAGAGCTGTTCCCCCATCCTCAGTGATTACAACCCCCTGAGAGCTGTTCCCCAGTTCATTATATCAGCTGAAATTACTCTCTTCCTGCTATGATCCGGCTGCTTTGGTATTTTGTCTGTACTGACCCTGGAGCTCATTCCTTATGCTGATTAATGTCTTCATATGGTCCTGAAACTCACTGTCCTGCATGTCTGCCCCTGTTTCTCTTATGGTGTTACCTTGTGAGCGATTTCTCATAATTACAGCACATTTTTGTGAAGACACATTGCCTGCTCTGTCCTGCCAGACCCAGTCCTCTGAGTCCCAGTAGCTGGAGGGCAGCCAGGCAATAATTTGCAGCTGCCTTGTGAAAATCCCAGTGGCTCAGACCTCGGTGATGTTGGACACAGACATAACCAGATGTCAAGAATTCTTACCAAGCACATCCTGAGCTTCAAAATGTTCACAAGTTCTTGTGAATGATGGTGCATCCTACCTAAAGGGTGCTGCTTTAATACCTGCTCTATCTCCAGTTCACATTCCCTATCCCATACAAGTTTAGAAGGAAAAAAATTCTGTAAACCATCTTGTGCTCAACTAAATACAGGCCAAGACATGTCCTGGTGTAAGAATAGAGCTAAATAAAAGCTATTTTAATGTATTTCTAGCTGTTTGAGGTATTGTCCACATACTGAAGTGTTTGCTCTTTCCATACCCTGCTGTACCAATTGCCACACAAGGACTAGCTAATTGCTGATCTAATTCCATGAAATATCATGTGGTGGCATCTCCACCCTTAGGGAATTCTCCTAGAAAGTCAAAGCTGGTCTGGAAACAATTTTTTGCTGTTGGAACAGTTTAAGGAAGCTGTCTCCCAGCAGTGAGTGGAGCCCGTTGTGCCTAACAGATGTTTGCAGTCCTGTCTCAGAGCTGCTTGAGCTCACATCTGAGCCTTCTCCTGACACAGCACATCTGAGAGGGGTCCTTTGCTTCGTGTCATTTGCTTTTCCACCCGATTTAGCTGATGTGCTGAGTGTTCTGTGCAGGGATATCCTTCAGTCAGCACCCAAGGCTCCCAGGGATCTCTCAGACGTGGTGTGCACGTCTCCTCCCAGCAGCTTTCCAAGCTGAGTATTGTGAATAATACAAAGCATGTCCTCAGTGTCTCTTTTGTCTAGTGGAAGTGGCAGGTTCCTGAGGTGGAAGGTAGGATGGCTCAGACATTCTCTGGAAGTGGAGAGGTGAAACCTGCTGTGTTGTTCTGGGAGCTTTTTCAGCTTGGCTCATCTGTTTGTGCTCCTGCTCTTTGTCTTCTTTCTCAGACTATTGGGTGTTTGTAACGGGTGATCTTTTTTTTTTCCTATTTATAGTAAACCTGAGAGGTGAACCTGTCCTCCACTGAAGCCTGTGGGATTTTGCCCACTGCAATGAAAACAATTGAAAAGGGCATTGTAAGGAACACTATGCTGTAAAAATAATTTGCTTGCTGTTCTCTCAGATTTGTACTTCTCATTGGTGATTAAAAAGTAAGTTTCAGTTTTGATATCAAAGTTAAACTTAGAAAAAAAAATTTTCTCTGTGTTTTAGCCTTTTTCCTTTTTCAATATTCCTTACAAACACTCACATCCTGTCTTTCATTAAGTGTTCCACTGGCTTGCTGAGCATTGCAGAAGGGATACAGCATTGCCTGAGGTGAGTTTTAGTAGCTAGGGTGTGATTTACTTGAAAGTCTGAAAAACTAGAAGAGTTTGATTTAATGTTTTTATTAGAATTTTGCTTTCTTGCAAAAAAGGATTTTGTTTATTTTCCTTACTTGGTGAAGGAAGGTCTCTGAAGTAAATGTGATGTGTTTTTCTTCAGTCAGGATTTAGCTCTAGGAAAAATGAGCTTCTCCCTGTTTCACTACCAGTCTCGTCTTGAGGGATCTGTGTCTAACCAGAAATGTAAATACCTGCTTGCTTCCCTAGCTTAATTTCTGAGAAGCTTGGAAGGTTATTTCCTTCTCATTGAGAATTTAGGATGTTATATTATTTCTTAGATTAAAACAGCATCTGCAGCTATATGAGCCAAAGTTCCTACAGCATTTCAGTTTCTTCTCTAAGTAGACCACAGTCCTATTTTAGGAATCAGTCATCTGTCCACCTGTGTTCACACTGGGACGTGTAATAAGCATTTGATCTCTCTCAGGTCAGTCTGTTTGTCAGTAACATACACAGGCAGCTGCTGCTTGTGCCTTGTCTGATGCCCGAGTCCATCCAGCCTGGCAATGTGTGTTAGTGTGTCACTACTGGTGAATGACACTTTCCTTTTTCACAGTCTGTGTCTCTCTCTATTTATCATTCATTTTGCCTCCTGTTAACTGAGTATCCTCAGCATCACCTCTTCTGCCTTTTTCTCTTTTTTCCTTTGCTAGTTGTGCCTTATCTCAGCTAATTTCATTGCTTATTACTGCTGCTGAATTTATTGATGAACGGCTCATTGCATTCCAAGCCACATAATCTGCACTCCTTCCTTTGCTGAGAACTTGAAAAATGTACTTGCAGAAATATTTGAGGATAGGACAGTTTGTGCACTTCAGGCCAAATTAGAGACACAAATCTCATCATCTTTATTAGGGCACGCATCCGATGTTTCACACAGCACTGGGGAAATTTATGTCCCTGCTTCTGTTTCTCAATTAGGTCACAAATTATCCCTGATTGTATTATGGTTACTGACACAGCAGTGCTGTTTTTTATTTTATCCTACCTTTCTTTTTAAGAGCTCTCATGCTCTGTCTTGCAGGTAACCCAATTAATGGTTCTGCTACTTGTAATGCAGTGATAAAATCCTCGCTGCCTGCAGTGGGCAGAGGATCAATCCTTATTTCTTCCTGTCTTGATGTCCTTTTTCCCCACCTGGTGTTGGAGTGCTGAGTGTCTTGCTTGGTACAGTGGGTGGGGCATGGGCAAGTCTGCGGTTTCTGGAAATGCTGCCAATGCAGTTGTCACATGCTGCTACTAAATATTGCATTTCTGTGGGTTTGGAAAATCAAAACAGCCACCTTCTCACAGTCTCCCAACTGCAGTTCTTCCTGTCAAGTCAATGAAAGTTTTTGAGATTTTGCTGCTTTATTTTTATATTGTAACCTAATTCCTTATACTATTAAAATATAATCAATTGCACCTAGCCAGTACAGCTGTAATACAGTATATACAGATATCTCTACTGCAGATTTAAACATTTAAATGATAAAAAATTAATGGTGCTCAAAGAGGAACACATGTAAAGCAGTCATGGATAGGAAGGATCAGGATTAAAATTCCCACTTACAGGCACCTTCTAGAATTGTCAGAAGTATCTAACCAGGTAAGGTTAGGAATGTATGGTCTGAGCCATCATGTGCTCTTGAAAATGCACTTATTGATCTATATTTTTGGATATCTGTATAGTTTCAAAAGTAACCCTGGTAGGTAAGAAGTCTGTATTTAACTGGAAGTCAATGGGATTTAGCCATCAGTGATTTTGTATCAGTACTAAGCCCTATATATGTATGGGAAAAAATAATTCTGAAATACTTGGCCACCTTTCAGAAAAGAGGGACTTCCTTGGATGTATAGGGGATTTCCCTTAGATCACAAATCAGAAAAAGCTCAATTGGACTGAATTAAAATACACAAAGTTTTAAATTGTTCACAGAAGTGAAGCCATAAATGCAAAAACTACCCAGTATATGAAGTTCTTAAAACATAAAAAGCAAGTGTGTTTTGCTTTTGAGTGATTAATCTTAATCCAATTTTTTTTTTCAGGTTAAGCACGAATTTTCTTTTTCAGTACCATGCCAAGTTTTTACTCTTTGAAGATATCATTAAAAACACCTCAAAGTTACTCTGCCTCGCACAATGTTGTTTTCAGGAATTGCTTGAAGGTAAGCAGTAGTGTAACTTGGTGTTATAAGGTGAATAATTAAGAAATGAGAAAAGAGATGAATTAATGTGATGTCCATGAAATTAGCATTATGATAATTGTTTGGCTTGTAGTGATATTGAATTTAATCTGACAATAATATGAAGAAATTGTGGGGTTTAGAACCATCCTTTGTTTGGGGGAAAACTTTAATTTGTTTAAAACAATTCAATGGCATCTGTGCTTTTCTAAGTTTCT